ATATGTTACTATAATTTTTTTTTACACTTAACTTTATTGCTATCACATAGGGAGCTAACACGCCCCCTATCTAATTGCAAATAGTATGTGACAGGTCCTCTTTATGGATACACCAGGGGTCTATTAGTCAGCTAATGTCATCTAGGGACCCCAAAGAAGCTGATGAAGCAGAGATCTGCTTCATTTTTATTTACTATTCTATCTTGGAATGAATGGAGTTTCCAAACGAAAACCACATTCACTAAAAGAAATACGTTCAATCGAGAAAACATTTCCAACATGCTCCTATGAAAATGTTCGGGAACATTGTCGTTTTCGTCTGTCGATTGCACCATACTATTTGACAGATACGAAAACGAACGTTCCGAAAACGTCTTCTTTCATACAAAACTCTAGCTGTGTATATATTTAAAATAGATAACACCACTGCGATGACAATACAAACTAGTGAACTAAAACTGTGAAATAAATAAATCGAATTCAAAACAAATAACGTGCGTTATGCACAACGCATGTACAGTGAAATCACAACAAATTGTTGTTATCTTGCTAAGTGTATAGACACATAAATCATGAACCATATGTATAAATGTGGCAAAAATAATTATAACATAGTGCTATTGTATATCTTGAAGCGCACTCATGTAGAGCTGTGCTCTAGCTCTGTGTATACCCTACTTTAGGATCCTCGAGTCAACACATTCTAAACATTAGTATACATTTTTCTTTTTTTAACCTAGACACAAACAAGCAGTTAATCCTTGCAGGGTTAATACAATGTGTGCCCGTAGATCTCCTTTAACCTCCCTGGCGGTATGATTATGTCAGGAATTTTGTGCCAAAAGACTCACGGTCAGATGATGCCGAAAACAGGCTAAGGCGCAACAATGTGAGGGTGGTCGGCCTCAATGAGGGGACTGAGGGCGCGGATCCCACATCCTTTGCGGAGGCCTTTTTAGCACTTTTCTCTGCATTCCCGAGTCTGGCTCGGGGTTACCGCTCCTGGTATTGAAAATTAACCCCGAGCCAGACTCGGGAATACCGCCAGGGAGGTTAAGCTTGTTTTTCTTTGTTTTCACCTGGTGGTTCTAAAAATAACACACTTCCTGTCCTAAGGTGACAATGTTTGCTCATTGTACCGTAATGTATCTAAGTAGAAGCAGCGTTGTTGCCCTAGGAAAGGAAGTGTGTTAGGACTTCAGAATAAACCCCCACTCATCAACTTCATAACATGGCGGTTATTCTGTAGTTCACATAGGTGAACTGGCCAGAGCTAATAACATTGTTGAGATAAATGCAGAATGCAAAGGACACAGGACAAGGCAACTGGACTTCCTGTATTTTTCTTGAAGACTTTTTACTGGTCATCCAACCAGTTTTCTGGGGCAGCATAGAAGAGCCAAACCCTCTGGTCAGGATTCAGCAGTATACCTACATCTAAAGGAAAAAGGTCACTTCTTTGAAGACAGTCAAGTACGCATCCTAGATAGGGAGGAGGACTGGTTTAAAAGAGGTGTGAAAGAAGCAATTTATGTAAAAATGGAGAAGCCAAGTTTGAATAGAGGGGGGGGGGAACAATGCTGTTTTAACACCTCTCTCGGCAGGTTAATAACACCTCCTAGCTCCAATTAAGCAAATGCAATCAACACCTGGTTGCAATTTACAGATTATGTGGATTGGAGCGACATTCACCATAGTTATTCCAAGAGAATTTTTGTACAAGTCATTCTGAATTGAGAAAGCTGGTTGGATGACCAGTGAAACGTCTTCAAGAAAAATACAGCAAGTCCAGTTGCCTTGACTTATTTTTTACAGATATACCATGACCTGGAAGAATGAGAACCTTCACAGACAGATATAACAACACTTTTTCAATGGTATATTAAACAACCCAAAAGGAAGCAATTGATAAAAGTTTACTGCTCGGGTTTACACACATTTTAAAAGCGAACAAGGAATTGTTGCCAGAAGAATACTACTACACACAGTAGATGTACACTCCTGTGGATAGGAACTATACTGATGCTGCAGATCCATAGCAGCAGCTGCAGAAGCCATGATGGAACCAATTATATATAATTACATAATTCCAATTATCGGTAGAGCTAACAACACGTATTGTTACAGGCTCAGCACACATATGCTGCCACTGTTCCAATATATTCAAAGCTGTAGATGTTCATCGCTCTTGGGTAGCAGAGTTTATAAAACACTGCAAACATATCTAGAGGGATCTATTTTTCATGTTTTTTAGATAAACCTGTAAATGATCAGTTTGTAAATATTGTTTTTCAATGTGTTTGTAAAGCTTTGCTTCTATGTATGGTTTATAATTATAGACAGTATGTACATAGCCGCAACGTTATTTGCTCATAATATACGGGCGCTTCTTTCTGCAGTGCTGAACAATGGCTGTGATTATCTGCTCCTTCTCACAATGCAAGTCAATTTCCACTAAAAACAATGCACTCGCTGTGTGGCTGATCTATTATCTTACCGTTGTTAAGCTGGCCATACACTATTAGATATACTCTGTCCATCCTGCAGGCTGAATTAATAAAATCTATTGTATTCTGACAGTGGGTACCTGTTGATGTCTGAGTACGTGAAAAGTGACTGAGGCGGATTTACTGTGGCCACTGTTCAGTGGACAAATTTCGGCCTGGTTCTTTCCACCAAAAGTTGATTGAATAATTGGCTTCTCTCAAGCCGGCAGGGCAACTCACTGCAAGAATTTTTGTCTGATTCCTAAATTTGCCAATACAGACATCCCAACTCTCCCGGACGCTCCGGGAGTCTCCCGCTATTGGATAGCGGCTCCCGGCCGCCCGGGAGAGAAACACTTCCTCCCGGAAAGGTTTATCTGCTCGATCGAGCAGATAAACCTTTCCCTGCGATCGTTTTTTTTTTTCTTTTCTGACATCGGGAGCCGCGGCCCGACCGTCAGTCAGAAAAGAAACAAAAAGGCATACGAATCCATAGCTAGATTCCTATTGGCTATTGCACTTTGCAATAGCCAATAGCAAACTAGGTTATGTACCCGCCCACTGCTGCTGTCAATCAGCAGAGGGGGACCTGAATTTTTCTATCAGGTCCTCTTCCGGTGATTGAAAGCAGCAGAGGGCGGGTGCAATAGCTAGTTTGCTATTGGCTATTGCAAAGTGGAATAGCCAATAGGAATCTAGCTATGCATTCTTATGCCTTTTTTTTAATATTCTGACGACTGCAACTATCAGAATACTAAAAACAAAATCAGAAAAAAGCCTGCAGATAGCAAAGAAGCTATTGCTTCCTCTGCTATCTGCCATCATTTCAGGGGGTGCTCTCTCCCAACCCCCCTAACCTCCCTCCACGGATAGGGGGGGCGTAGAGGGCAACTCCCTGAAATGAGAAGGACACCTCCCTGAAATGGCTTCTTTCAGGTTGGGATCCCTGCCAATATTCTAACAGTGTAGGACAAGCCTTAGAGAGTGCCTCTGCAAAGTCACCCCACAGACCCCCTTACATTCAACTTATGAGCACTTCGCCACCACTCCTTACTCCGTCCCTACACTTCCCGGTATGGGCAAGTATATGACCTGCTAACAGCCAATGGCTAGGCCCAAGGACTGTCACATGAACTGAGAGAATTACATCAATGCTTTCCCTGGCATCAACACTTCTGATTTCTGTGCCAGCTACAATGAAAGAAGAAGTGCAGGCATGGTGAATATTAGGGGGTCTGTCATGTGGCCCTGCATAGACAAAATGAGTGCATCTCTTTTGTTTTTATCCTGCAAGTGTCTTTTGATGTGCTGTCCTGTTTATTAGCTGCACATGAGGATGCTTCTGGTCACAAGAGGTGTTTCATAGTTACACTATTAAAATAACTGTATGTATGTATGTTTTGTTCTCCTAACAAATCTTTCTACCAATAAACTGCATCATGCAGTCTTTTTTCAAAAACTTAGAACTATGCAGTCCACATAAGCAGGCACAGATTACTAAAAATAATACTATATAGTATGTATGCATTAAAAGAGTATGCAGAATGAGCTAGCCACCATAGCCAGTAGTGTTCACCATAGCCTCTAAATTCACTAAGAGCCTCTGACATCACTGGGTATGACTGTGTGAAGTTACATCATTTGTTTCTAGTGAATTTATAGGATATGTATTGATCAATCCAGAACTGAACTATTAAAGCCATATTTTGTTCCATACGCAGTATGTATGCAACAGAATGTACACAGAAAATGAAATGTTTTTCAATGACTGATTCAGCAGGCCTTTCCAATAAACAGATAAGGAACATTGCAACATGAGCAGCATTCTGTCACTAGACTTCACGGCCCAAACAATAACCACCATTGCATTCTGGGTATTTAGCCTAACTACATATGGGGTTTTCCTCAAACAGTATTGTTGACAAGCCCTGAGCATGCTATGAACAGCAGAGAGGAGATCACAGCCATTCTTTTGCCCCCGTAGTCCAGAAGGTCATAATATCATATCTTCAGTGACACAGATATCAAAGCAGAAGCAATTTTTGTTCAAGCTGTATTTAGTAGCGGTAAGCTATAGCCCAGGATTTATTTGCGGATTTACCTTGTGTGTTGCATTGAAAGCATAACTGCACAGCCCAGGCCCATCCAAGATCTGGCTATGTAAACCACTGTTTGAAGTTGAAATATAAAGAGCTGGGAAGGTCCTGAATGATTACTTAGAGGCTTGGAACATGTGCCCTCCAATATTGTGGCAGCTGTCTCTGTGCACTTAATGGATTTTGTGCTTGGTGCACATCATTCAAGAGACGATGTGAATATGGTAAACTGAGCCATTCTTGCAGTCTGCTGTGCATAAGCTGAGAAGGGGAACTCGCCACTTGATAAATGTCTATGTCATTTTGTTCTGTTATACTTGGCTTGCATTAAGGCCAGGCAGCGGATGTCCCAAGCAAGGCCGCAGACAATACTAGCACACTGGCCTGATGTACTTGTTTGGTTTGCCATTAATCTTACCTCGATGATGTAAAGGACCACATTCTTGTAGAAACAGTAGAGGATGCATTTGGTCACACGATTGTAGCTCCAGGCTCCGTGGACTAAAAGAAGTTTCTCCAAGTAACAAAACTATAAAAGAAGAAAGAAAAAAAAAATGTCAGAGGAAACCTGATGCGAAACTCTAATAACAAGTCTATGGCACGCACTGCTTTTGACTTGGGGGTAAGGGAAGAAAATGATTTAATGTGCACACATTTTCTAAAGTTTTATAATGTAAAGCTGAGGCTGTGTGTCACATCTTTATTAATTGTAAAATAAATTAATTTACAGTAAGGAAGAAATGTGAAGTAATAGAAGAAAAAAGCCAAAATCAACACAAGCTGTACGCCTCTATGGTCACTCGAAATGATGCCTTCTCCCACATTGTACAGGGGTGCAGATTCTACAGAAGACAGCCAAAGTGAAGACCCTGCCAAATGCTGGCTATACAGGGGGTGCTTGAGGCAAATGTCTCTCATTCCCTTATGACAGGAACCATACTGATTAGCAAAACAATTACACATGTTTATTATATGTATATGTTTATAGTGTTGTTTGTTACAATAAAAAAATAATGTGTAAGGCCAAAATTAAAGTAACATTTAACATTGATTCAAATGTACAAAAACATAGTGAAAGAAAGGTGAAGAAATACTTTAGGGAGTAATAGTAGTTTCAACTTTTTTTTTTTAAGTTCTAACTCTAGAAAATGTGTGTTTAACGTTTGGACATTTTGAGCTCTCCACCATTCCATTCAAGCCCCATACCAGTTCAACAGAATATAGAAAAAAATCTGCCCAAGAGTATTATGCTCTTCTACACCACCTGAATCAACATCCTGCCACCATCCCCAACCGGTCAGTAAGCTCTTTGCTTCTGCTTATCACAGCCCTTATTGCTACTATAAATATTTTGAAACAGTGCTTTAGTACACATTCAGCATCTGTGCACCTTTTCCCTTCATCACAGGTAGTGGGGGACTGCTGACTCCATATATAGTGGTTTTTGAAACTCCTGGAGAGAAGATAGGAGCATAGTAGACATCTATGGCAGGGCAGAAACAAAAATGTGAGCACTGAGCAGACAAAAAGGATACATGGTCAGCACTAACAAACTGGAGAATACTGCATTTCCTGCTGATATTAAATGGCTCTCACTGGAGTGTCAGGAACAGAACCTGGTCTTCACCAAAGCTGTTGAAGGTACAGATCAACTTGGACGGGCCTCTGGAAAAGAATCACCAAGGCAGAAATTCGTCCCTTGACAGTGCTCAAGGCCAACTGCTGGTCTAGGCTAGAGTGGAGGAAAGATAGGTTGCGTTCCACGGAGTACTTAATGGGGCACTTCACTCCAGACGAAATAAGCCAGGTGTGATAGAAGACATTGCGGAAGGTCAACTTCCTAGCTTTTAGACGTGTAGTAAAAACAGCTTTCAAGAGGTCTTTGCCTTTGAAGAACTGGGCTTCAACATACAAGCTGTTAAAGCCAGTGCCTGAGCAGCCGGGTGGAATACCAGTCCTTGGGGCAGTAAGCCTGGACAATCCAGAAGTACCCATGGAGGGTCTACCAGGAGTTTGACTACGCCTGCATATCATGGTCTCCTAGGCCAGTTGGGAGCCATGATGATCGACAGAATACCCTTCATCTTAATACTGCAAAGGAGACAAGAGTTTCAGAAGAGGGAAGGCATAGATCACACTGAACTAGTCCCCATGGAGTCACCAAGGTATCCACAGCAAAGGTTTGTGGATCCAAGAGGACAGGGCTCTACTGCAATGGACCATGACCCTGGACCTGTAAAGCACACTGGGACAGCTACAAACACTGTACAAAGTGCTATGGAGAGTGGATCCAGTGCCCTAAACACATTACAGGCCATCCCCGCATCTTCTTTCTGGAAGGGTCTGGGTACAGTTTATCAAGGCACTGCTGAGGAAAAGACAGCTCTGGATAGCTGCTGTTAGGTGCTACAATGCATGTGAGCAACATTTAGCGAAACTTGCTAGAAGAGTCTTCAATAGAATGTGCAGAAAAAAGATGTACTTGTCTCAGAGCAAAGAGCAAAAAGAAGGCATCCATCAACTAAAGACACTAACAAAAACCTGAGATGAGCTGGTAGAGATTATACAAGACTTTGATTGATTGACAGTGACAAAGGGAGCTAAATAACCCAGTGGTTAATGAATTTACCTCCCTGTGCCCTGTGATTTAGAATCAAGAAAATATACTTTGTATTGAATTATCACAGACTTTACAGTAATCCTAAAACGGCTTACATTTTTTATGAGCAGTCCGTTTACATTTTTGGACAGTTGGCCACCCTTGGGCGCATAATTTTTCCCTATTTCACTACTGAAAACCCAGTATTTAATCAACACCTGGGTTTGTCTAAAACTGCCTTCAGAAGAGGATACTTCAGCTTTGCAGTTCAAATCACTTCTTACATGCAAATACGTCAGATATGCACAATTAGTCCAATACCTGTCCCAATGCATCGCCATATTTAAAAAAAAAGCACAAATTGAGAGTTAGCACTTAAAAAAAAAAAATTCCTGTAATTGATATCCACATTAGAGAAGATAGTGCTCTTTTGAAGAGCGTGATGGTAGAAGCAGGTGCTGCCCTCAGACACTGACATGGGCTATTGTGTATAACAGAGGGGAGCTTGGACCAGCTTAAATGAGCATTCCACCTCACTGACAAAACCATTGTACAACTCTCACCCAGCTACATTACTGGCAGAGTCAGAATATGAGACATGAATAGTAAGCTCTTTAATGCTATTTGGAAGGTGCTAACCCAGAGCAGATAGCAGATAATTTATAACACACACATTGCTTTGTTAAGGAGAACATGGCAGTTCATCTGGAAAGAATGCACAGGCTATTTCAAATGTGCTGTGACCAAGACCTAAAGTGTGATATATAAATCATTAGGCTTCGAATTAATATGATTTCTTCCAAACAAGAGGAGAAGGATAGGCATGGCTTTATAACTGACTTATAAGGATGCCTACAGAGGTTTTGTTTTTTTGAATGATATCTTACTGATGTCACTACAACTGAGAAGAAGGTACAGGAAATGTTTTCCAACCAATCAGTTGGTCCTCTGTGGTCTGCATGTCGGTTTCCATGTTGCTCTACATAAATAATGTTTGTTATATTATTTTATACTGAATTTTGGCTTTATATTATATCTCTTTGAGCCCATATGGTGCTTTTTCACTCTTGCTTCTAGTTTCTGCTGTTATTACTGTACATGCTGCTGCTATCTACAGTTTTTGATGAATTATTTGACCATATAGTGAAGGAACTTATTTTGTGTATGATTTTGTGTATGATGAATGCTTCTGTATATTAGCTGTATGCTATAACCAAGTTTTTGTGAATTATTGTGCATCATCCACATACCCGTGAAACATGTATGTGGAGTACCTTTTATAATAAATTGACAAAATCTTAAATGGTCACAAACTTTTTTGAATTTCAAGTCTTCTTATTTACAGTACATTCACATTATGGTCATTGTTAACTTTATACATTCACATTAAATGAGCCTCCTCTACTTGCATATGGCTTGATATAAAATTGATGGTGTGCAAATCCAACAGAATATAACTGGGCAGAAAGGGCCGTGTCAGTGATTCACAAAGTCTGGAACTCGACTTCCTAACTCCTTTCTGTGGCTAAAAGGAGCCTTCTGTCAGGCTCATTCAAACCAGATGCGACTGAAAATGTACGTACTGTAGATTGAGTTTAAACACTTCAGATGTATTGTGACGTCTTTGGTAGGTCTCCTTTCAACTGTGTTGCATGGAAAACTGTAAGATAATGCAACCTAACTGTAGCCACACTCCTTCCCTAAAGAAAACCTATTCTAAGAGAAATCTGTAGACTGCCATTCCTGACCCGACAGTTGCCTGACTTCCTCTTGGCTTTAATACTTTCTGAGTTACAGTCCCAGAACAAGCATATTTTTACATTTACGTGCCCCATAGTACTGAAGCCACTGGATCAATATGACAGTCGGACAACTAGCATTTTGATAAAGAGAAGGCATTGCGAATTTCCAAATGTATACTTGCATTACCTCTTTGTGTAAAGGTCTTAAATATTTAATAAGATTAAGTAATAGCATTCCCCTGGTTTAGTTTTACAAAGAAGACCCACTAGCTCAGTGGCCCTTTTACAGATATGGCATAACTATATAAAAACCTCACTCCCAGACTATGAACTTATGGACCTATAAATCTTTCTTGGCACCCAGTCAAAGGGACATATATCATATTTAGAGGGGATGTTTAGACACAAGTGTGCTGCGTGGCGCCTCTCTCCCACTGCTGCTAGCTATACATTTGCTTATAGGAAATGCAATACTTTATAAAATATTTCTCAGTGGGTTTGGATGCTGTAAAGTAAACTGGGGGTATCTAAGGTGCTGGCTTTGGGTTTTGGTGTTGGCAAAGATGATATCCCCCTATGAATTTGCTAGATTCAGAAGTTGCCTCTTAATACATCTAGCTAATACCTCTGTCAACAGTCTACAACAGCTGTTCAAGGGGCCTCTGACCTGAGCTATAGCGTAATCGGAGTTGTTGGTTGCCTGCATGCCCTCGTTCCCGCTGATCCCCACTCCAACGTGTGCGGTCTGGATCATTCCAACATCGTTGGCACCGTCTCCAATGGCCAGGGTGATGGCATTGACATGTTTCTTTACCATGTCTACAATTTCAGATTTCTGCAGTGGAGACACTCTGAAAAGCAGAAGCAAAAAACAAAAAAAAATGTCAGTGAGCTACTGTGAAGTTACAAATTATGCCGGTCTTTCTGACGTGACAGCTGTAAACCAGATTTAGACCTAACCAAACCGCTCTTCTTGGAAAGTGACCTAGTTCAAAACGTAATATGTATTGCAGATGTCAAACAATGTGTTTAAAAGGCAATGATATGAAACAACTGCTCTCCACAAGGGTTTCCCTACCTATCATTCCTCAATCATAGCTATTGTGCTATCATTCCATTTTCTGCTTTTCTGCTTTTTCCAGCAATCGTATACTAAGCAGAACGGGTTTGAGCACTATCCAGCTTTTCAGGCTTCCATGACTTGCTGTCGTTGTGCACTAACAGCTGGAGAGACGCACTTTGACCATGCATCGGATTCAGTGATAAATCTTTATCCTCAGCAATGAGCGTGACTGTTTTGGAGTGTGTAGGCAAGGAAGGCCTAGAGTAGAACTTGAGCTGTTACTGTGATTTAAACTTTTTTATAAGCCTATTTAGGCGTATGATGCAATAGCTAGCACTTAGAATCACTTGCAGAATTGAGTGATAGCGATTCATTGGGAAATTCGTAAGTGACACTTTTCTGTGCATTCCCGAGTGGCTCGGGTTTACCGCTTCTGATACTGAAAGTTAACCCTGAGCCAGACTCAGGAATACCGCCAGGGAGGTTAAAGCAAAGGTTTGATAAAGACAGACTGAGGTCCATGGAAACGTTGACAATAAAATGCTGATGCTTTGACTTATCTCCGCTGTAAGGCATGTGAGTGCCTCCATACCTAATTTAGATTTGTATAGATGTTTCCTGTGGATGAGCACCCGGGCATTAACGTTACAAATATAGTGCAGTGGCTGCCATGGAAATATACAGTGTGTATATACAAATATACACACACACTATATTACCAAATGTATTAGGACACCTCTCCAAATCATTGGATTCAGGTGTTCCGTGAAATTTCCTTGCTACTAAATATTCCACGGTCACCTGTTAGTGGTATTATAACAAAGTGGAAGCAACTGGGAACAACAGCAACTCAGCCACAAAGTGGTAGGCCACGTGAAATGACAGAGCAGATTCAGTGCATGCTGAGGTGCACAGTGTGCAGAAGTCGCCAAATGTCTGCAGAGTCAATAGCGACAGACCTCCAAACTTCGTGTGGCCTTCAGACTGGCACAACAACAGTGCGCAGAGAGCTTCATGGAATGGGTTTCCATGGCCAAGCAGCTGCACCCAAGCCTTACATCACCAAGTGCAATGCAAAGCATTGGATGCAATGGTGTAAAGCACGCCGCCACTGGACTCTAGAGAAGTGGATACATGTTCTCTGGAGTGACGAATCACGCTTCTCTGTCTGGCAATCCGATGGACGTGTCTGGGTTTGGCGGATGCCAGGAGAACGGTACTTGCCTGACTGCATTGTGCCAAGTGTAAAGTTTGGTGGAGGGGGGATTATGGTGTGGGGTTGTTTTTCAGGGGTTGGGCTTGGCCACTTAGTTCCAGTGAAGGGAACTCTTAAGGCATCAGCATACCAAGACATTTTGGACAATTTCATGTTCCACAACTTTCTGGGAATAGTTTGGGGATGGCCCCTTCCTGTTCCAACATGACTGCGCACAAGTGCACAAAGCAAGGTCCATAAAGACATAGATGAGCGAGTTTGGGGTGGAGGAACTTGACTGGCCTGCACAGAGTCCTGACCTCAACCCAATAGTACACCTTTGGGATGAATTAGAGCAGAGACTGCGAGCTCGGACTTCTCGTCCAACATCGGTACCTGACCTCACAAATGCGCTTCTGGAAGAATGGTCAAACATTCCCATAGACACACTCCTAAACCTTGTGGACGCCTTACCATAAGAGTTGAAGCTGTTATAGCTGCAAAGGGTGGGCCAACTCAATATTGAACCCTATGGACTAAGACTGGGATGCCATTAGAGTTCATGTGCATGTAAAGGCAGGCGTGCCAATACTTTTGGTAATATAGTGTATATATGGATAGATAGATAGATAGATAGATAGATAGATAGATAGATAGATAGATATTATAATTTATTTTTATGGAAAATGTACACAACGATAAACCATCTATTTATTATTGCAATTGAATCTTTACTTGAACTAAGAATTTAAGCATTTCATTTGATATAGGATGGATTAAGTTACTTAGTTTGCAAAGTATTCTGGGTTTTTAAAAAAGAAAGCCCAGCACTATTTCTGCAGTTGTTCTGCAGATACAAAATCCAGAAAGATACCATCTCTACACCAAATGTACACATTCATGTAAGACATTTTACATTTCCTTTTAGAAAAGAAACAAAAATGTACTTTTAGTCCTGGATATGACACATAAATAAAATATACATCCAGCAACTTCTGCTAAGTGCTTTGGTATCATATATTGTTAATGTCAATGTTTCTAGAAAACCTGTGCAAAAATGACAAAAGTGGTTTCCATATGTATTGGCTATAAACACTGACACAACATATATAATTGCTACCCAAAGGCTTTGCAATAAAATAAACAATGCTTACAGCACATTATTAAAAAAAACGTTCTTATAAACGTGACTTAAAGGGAAAGTTCCAATGCATCTGGCTGCACAATTACAGGCATATTAAAAAGAAAAGAAGTAAAGCTTTCAAACCAATTTCACACAGTTCCCTCACTTCTCAGGTGTGAAGTATTTGTTTTCCAAGTGTTGTAACACTAACCACACAATGTTACATATAGCGTAGGCCAACATCTGAGCCTCAGCAAGCCACTTGCAACTACTTTATCAAAACCAGCCTGCAACAAATTGACTGGGCTGTGGAATAATTACGACGGAGCCTCTGGAAGTGGAAATGTCATCTTGTAGATTGTGTTATTTTAGAATTCATCTGGAACACATTTTGCAAGCACTGTCTTGGCACACCTGGAGTTAAGCCTGGTCTTACTTGGCAAATCAGTGTATAGCAAGGTATTTATCAATAGGGAATGATGGTCAAACCAGATACACACACAATGGAAGCTAAGTGTTACAAGGCAGGGAAGGCTGTGTGTTACATTATTAGACTTAATAAACTGTGGTGATTTTGATCTGACTGAACCCTGGAACACAAAGATAAAATCAGCCTGGAGGAATGTTCCATAGAGCTTGTTCCGGCAAAGAGCTCTAGTAGCTGCTGTTTTATTTTTAAAAATGTAGTGTGGACTGTATCCTATAGAGCCATCTGTGTTCTAGCCACGAGTCCTTTACTAAATACTCCTGTTGCTTATTTCATTCTTTTTTTTTTACTTTTCCTCTGTTTTCTATCTTGTTAGTTATATTAATTCCCTTTTCCCTTCTCTCCTGTTTGGACCAGCCTACTGTTAGGAGAGCCAGGCTTGCTCTCTACCTTCTCATTCTGCTGCAGCTGCCGCTTCTACACTGAGAGCCACCGCTCTGCCTTCCCAGCTTGACACACACCACCACTCTCATTGGCCATCGGCAGAGCACTTCCATTGACAGTATCTTGAGTGGTAGGCTGCATTTGGTTTGAGCCACCCAGCCTCCTCGTGCCTGATTAGCTGCCATTCTGTTGAACTCTATTTAGGCATCACAAGGGCTATGGACTTTTTAAAGCATTTTCTGCCTAGCTCCTGACTTCTGTCTCTGTTGCCTTGCCTAGTTTCTACTGCTACTGACCCCTGCTTTGGATAATGGATTACTCTGTCTAAATGCTGCCTGCCCTGAACCTTGCTTTGGATAACATATTACTTTCTCTTGGAACGTCGCCAGCCCTGACTTCCTGCCTGGATATTGACCACCTAGCTTTTCCGGGTCACCTGTCATGGTACTTGATCTCACCCTCAGGGGGCTCCTGGCAGGTGTCCTAGTTCTGTGCATATAGTACCCAAGTCCTTGGAACATCCAAGTACCAGCAGGCATATCAGAAGGCTGCTTTAGGTGAAGCCATATCGTCCTTACACTATTTTTGCCAAACCGGGAGCATTTCAGCCTTTGGCCCACTTCCTGTAGGCATAGATGCATCACTGGGTCTTCTCTCAGGATTCAGGAAAGGTAGAGGAGCCAAAATCTTGCAAAGAAAGATGCTCCAGCACTGTGCTGGGTATAAGACAAGTATTTTGGTTTTTTTCTTCTAGTGCTTTTTTTTTACTTAGTGTTTTTTATGCAAAGCAGACTTTGCATTTTCAAGTATATATGTAACAGATACTGCTGCATACCCATTTACCTAAATAATGAATGTAAATAATTAAATTGCCATCCTCATTTGTCCAAAAACTAAATATGAGTGCTGTCTTACCATAAACTATCTCAACAAATAAAGTTTTGTTTTAAAACACCAAAAGCCCACAATATTAGATTCTATCAAGTGTTACCAAACTTCAATATTGTCTAAAAGTATTATATAAAAATATTTATATTTGTTTTTTTGTGTATCATTTTATATAAATTACTTTTAGAGCAGCAACCCACAGCAAATCAAAGTTCATCTCGTACTGGTTATCAGTGTGTGTTAATGTTTTTAAATCTTTAAGGCAGTTAATTCACTAAAAAAAGAAACTCTTCCTGTGTAATTGATTTCTTACCTAAAACATTGTTAAGGGAATGTATAATGGTATAATCATGAATTCCACAAAGCATTCCCTGAAAGCTGTTTTGAAAGTTTGGGAAATGTACAAATATTATTTATGTCGGCATTCTTACTCTAAACTGATCCTGTGTGAGCAATAAATGCCCAGCACGTTATTGTGGCTCACTGTAGCATTGATTGCCTGTTAGAGCCTGAAGATCTCCTTGAGGCAGCTCACAGAGAAAGTGCACGTGCCATTGTGTTTAGGAAATCGGCTCTGGAAAGTGTTCATAGCAAAATGGCTTGTTTTAATTGTGCCTCACAGCAAAAATATTGGTTTTATTGCTGTCCAAAAAACGTGCCTGAAATCTTTCAACTGTTTATACGATGTCTATGAGCGTGAAGCTGTATAAT